CGCCCCCCCCCCCCCCCCCCCCTTCCCAGGACTTCCTAGTTGCAAACAGCAGCATGTGCAGTGCTCCCTCCTGCCTGAGATTTACCACTTCCCCTTGTTCGAGCGACACGTCCCCTCATTCTGAACGTGGGGGCGCTCGCTGCTGCTCAGACGAGCAGTGGGCGTGGGGAGGGGTCTGGGGGCCGGTCGCAGGCCTGTGTGAACCATAAACTAGGGGCTGCCGGAGGTCCGAGTCCATCTGCAGTTTTCAATTCCCCCCCCGGAGCGACGGGCACTTCTCTTTCTTGGCTGGTTGTGCTCTTGCTTCTCCAGCGGGAGCCGCGGGAGTGCAGTCGCTGCACAGAGAGCAGGCACGTCTCTGATCCAGACAGGCGCACTCGGGTCACCCTGAGCCCTCCCGGCAGGCACGTTTCACGCCTGGCATCCCACGGCAGCTCACGGTTCACCCACTCCCTGTAAGATGCTTTGTTGGGCAGCGTGGGCAAACAGACCTGTCCCTTTCATTTACAGCCAACTTACCCCCAGCCCTACACCCAGGCAAGCTACACCCAAGGAGGAGGGTATACTCCCAACTACACCTATGGAAGTTACAGTGGTTACAGCCAAAGCTACACCCAGCCTCCACCGCCGACACCGCCGACCTACAATCAGCAGAACTACAACCAATACCAACAGGTAGGTGGGGGGCGGGCACTGCAGCGAGCGATCCCTATCCGGAGGATAAGCAAAGGGGGTGTCCAGCCATCGCATGAATTGATGCTTGTAGGCGTGGAAGAGTGGTTCCCAGCCTCACCCAGATTTCCTGGGACCTTGGGCCAGTCGCAGAACCTCTCCTTGCTGTCAGCGGAGGGGAGGGTTAGTGAAATATTTGCAGGGTCCCTGGGGCAGATTGAGAAGATGACGTCTAGCAGCCATTCTTGGCTGTCCATTCAGTCTCTAATGCTATTACAGAAATCGTAAGAGCAGCCAGACAGGCTCAGACCAAAGGCCCATCCAGCCCAGTGTCCTGTCTTCCGGCTGTGGCCAATGCCAGGTGCCCCAGGGGGAGTGAACAGAACAGGGAATCATCCAGTGATCCCTCTCCTGTCGCCTACTCCTAGCCCTGACAGAGGCTAGGGACACGATCCCTGCCCGTCCTGGCTAATAGCCATTGATGGACTTGACCTCCATGAGATTACCCAGTTCTGTTTTTGAACCCTGTTACTCCTGGTCTTCACATCCTCTGGCGAGGAGTTCCACAGGTTGAGTCTATGTTGTGTGGAAAAATACTTCCTTTTATTTGTTTTAAACCTGCTGCCTATTCTTTTCAGTTGGTGACCCCTAGTTTTTGTGTCATGGGAGCAAGTAAATAATCTTTCCTTATGTACTTTCTCCACACCAGTCATGATTTTATAGACCTCTCTCATATCCTCCCTTAGTTGTCTTTTTTCCAACCTGAAAAGGCCTGGTCTTATTCTGTCCTCATGTGGCAGCTGTTCCAAACCCTTCAGCATTGTTGTTGTTGCCCCTTTTCTGAACCTTTTCCAGTTCCAGTCTCTCTTTTTGAGGTGAGGCGCCCACATCTGTACAGGGTATTTCATGCAGGTGTCCCATGGATTTGTATAGAGGCAGTAAGCTGTTCTCTGTCTGATTCTCTCTCCCTTTCTGAATGATTCACTACGGCCACTGCACATCGAGTGGCTGGTTGCAGAGCTCTCTTCACAATGACTCCAAGATCTCTCTCTGGAGTGGGAACAGCAAATGTAGAGCCTGTCATTTTGTACGTCTAGTTGGGATTGTGTTTTCCAACTCAGCCTGACTGAGGAGTTGGCTTCCCCGCTCCTCCTGATGGCCCCGGAGGATCCATGCGAGAGGCCCTCGCCCGGGCGAGTCGTTCAGAGTGTGCTTGTGTGAACGGTACTTTAGGGAAGATACTCTGTCCCAGGGAGCCTAGCCCTAGGCCTCTCTGTTCTGTGGCAATTGAGTATTGCAACAGCTCCTACGAGCCAGGGCCATCATGGGCTGGGTGCTTACAGCCAGAGCTGCCCCCTGGTTATGGCAAATCGGGGTGACTCCTCCAGGCCCTGCGTTCTGGGGTCCCACTCTGTGGGGCTGGAGAACCCCTACCAAAAGCTCGCTCTACACCAGCGCCTCCTACTCACTGGCTGGCCTTGCCCGTCAGCACCTCCTCTCCCTCTTGCGCCTGCTGCCTGCCACAGGTCAGATGTTTCACAGCATCAGGAGGGGGGAGGGCGCAGCGCGCTCAGGAGAGGAGGCGGAGTGGGGGTGGGAAGAGATGGGGTTGGGCATGACCTGAGGGGAGAAGATCAGAGCCTCGGTGCCTATGTCCTGGGCTCCTTGACCACTAGGGACGGCCCTGCTTACAGCCGTGTGCCTGCCCCAGAGTGGCAGGTGGTCCGATGCTGTGGGCTGCAGATCTGCAGCAGCACGTCTCCTTGGAGATACAAGCACATCAGGCCTGTCTTCCCGGCTGCCCAGTTCAGGATCTCGTGCCCAAGCTGCTGGGCGCCCGGAGGGTCTCTCCGAGCCTGGCTTGATCTGTGACTGGACTCCACGGGTGCAGCGGGCATGGTGAGCTCTGTGGGGCAGCAGCCAGCATGTCCTCTGCACGTTCCCAGACTGAGGAACAAATTCCCCCGGCTTAGTGCCGGACGCATCTCCCTGCCCTGCCTCCCCTGAGAAAGCACAGGTACACAGCAAGTCCCCGTCGGAGCACCACGCAGGTTAGTCCAGGCACTCGGAGACTAGCGCCGAGCGCGGCAGCAGCAGGAGGGCAGCCCTTCTCCCGTGCTTAGCAGATCAAAGCGCTGGGCGAAGGAAGTCACTCTGGCTTTCCCCCAGCTAGCAGAGGGGAGGGTCATGAAACCCCGTCTGCTCCCATTGGTGCTCTGGAACAGCACAAACACAGCCTCCGTTGGTCTGGTTGTCCTGGGGGCTGCCCACCCCGCAGGCCCCTTGCCCAGCTCTAACTCTGTCGTCTCCCCTCAGTACGCTCAGCAGTGGAGCCAGTACTATCAGAACCAGAGTCAGTGGCCTCCCTACTACGGCAGCTATGACTACGGGAGCTATTCCGGCAGCTCCCAGGGAGGCTCCAGCACTCAGTGAAGACCAGCGGGAGCTAAGGAGAGCCCACCTCTGCGTCTTCCTTTGGGAGCGGCCTGCAGCCCCTGGAGGCACCCCTGCGTTTCACTCAGCAGCTCCGTCAGAGCAGTTCCTGGCCACCTCTGGGAACAGGCAAGGGAAGTAGAACCACAGCCCTTGTTTTCTATCTGTAGTTTTGACGATGAATGCGTTTCTTGTACACTCTCGACAGACAACGGCATGCTCCCTTCTTCCTGCCCTGTAAGAAAGTTGCATTATTTCTCGCCACATGTTTAAAACCATCTCCTTTCTATTTTTTGACTCTTAAAATGGTAGGATCTTAACCATCCCCCTGTTCTAGGTACTGTGCTGCCAGGCCAGGACTCTCCTTGTTTGAAATCTACAATAGCAAAGGGTCGGCTGTGGCCCTTGATAGCCTTCTCCCCCCTCCCCGTGCTACACAATCGTGCTAGTGAGAACTTCCAAGACTTGACTGCAGTTCAGTGTCAATCTTTCCTGGAGGTGTTTTATTCATCTATTCTGCAAAGCATTTTAAAACAAACCTAGAGGGAGGGGAGATGGCTGTTTTATGGTAATTATGCTTTTTTTTTAGATTTTATGTAACTTTTTACCGTGGGTCAGCAGCTGTTAATATTTCATCAAGATAACAATTTCTTTGCTCAATCCAGGTGAGAAATAAAAAATCATCTTAAATGTGTAACTTTTTATACAATGTCTAAGTTTCTGTAACTTTGCACATGCTTTGTTTTGAGTTGAATTGTAACAGCTTTTTGTATTTGGAGAAAGAGTGAATATTGAACTTTAATGTCTCGGTGTTTTTTTTTCCTCCTTTATGAATTCTCTGGGTTCTTTTTTTAAATCGGTTTGATCATTAACATGTCCCATCCTAAGCCTTTCACTTCACAGAAAATAACAGGCGGCATCTTTCTAATGGGTTCCATTATCTATCTGCCAGAACTCTTGTGTACTAGCTGCTGCCTAAACCATCTAATAGTCAGAAAAACACTTGAGTTGATTTATGCATGAACATTTTATTTTCAAAACAGCTTTTTACAAACCCTTCCTGTCACTCCGAGATATCCATGGAGAGTTTCAGAAGCTTTTTCAAAGAAAGTTTATTTTCAAGAAGGGAGCTTGTCTGGCTGTTTCCACAAGAGAGAAATTGATTAGTTCCGTCTCCTTGGCTTGATTATAAATCAATGTGAAATTGACACATCAGTTTTCATTCTCCAGGCTTGGTGAAATGCAAACTAAGTGACATAAACATTGGAAAGTTAACTAGATTTTTAAATTTCCTTGCTTATAATGGGTTAGGATTTCCTCTTCTCCCCCTTTTCCCCCTCAAAAAAAAAAATGGGACCAGATCCCTAGCTGGTGTGGCCCATGAATTTTAAATTGGCTTGCATCCCTTTTCAAACCCTTCAGTAACAGTCAGCTAATGCTTTTGGACCCTAGAAACTTAATTCACCACCCCTGCTTGTTTTGTTGCTTACCCGTGCAGTGTCTGCTCTCACTTGGCCCTCTTGCCTCTGGTGTAAATGTCCACCCAAGATGTGCAGCGCAGCAAGGAGCTGAGGCCCAGGTTTGGTACACAGCAGGTTCTGCCAGCAGCTTGGGAGCAGTCTCGGTGCCATCAGAGCCTCAAGCCTGGCCTGAAACCATGCCCGACCTGGAATCACATTGGTGTCCAGGACACAGTCAGTCACGGAGAGCTTAGAAAAAGCCTTCATTGAATGCACATCTGTTGCATCATTCAGTATGCAAAGCGTGAGTGTCCGGGCAGGGCAAGCTCACGGCTTGGACAAGAGATGCAGGGCGTGCAACAGCCCTCTGCTTGTCTGAAAGCATTTTCTGTCTCTGGTGATTTCCATGTTTACACTCCAGGGCAATTATGCGGAAAGTTAGCGCTTTACAGCCATTCAATCAAAGGGGCAGGCTCACATCTCAAACTACAAAGTCCGTTTCTTGAATCCCATCTTAAGTTCTCCAGCAACAGTTTTCTTTACCAATGGGAATATGGTTTTGGTAGTTGGGGTGCAGTGAAAGTGACATTTATCAGTGATCGTCTCAACCTCCACCACTAAGCAGCATTCATAGCCCTTCTCTTCTTTATCGACAACTTGCTGTCCTGTAGTTCACAGCTCCCTTCCTGGTGGGGGACTAAGCTGTGCTGTGCCTCACTAATGCTAAACAGCTTCTTAAATAGGAGATGGGCCAAACCTGGGAAGATTTCTTATGTGCACAGCTGGGACCAAGCCTATTGGATCATTCCAGCCAGTACAGTGCCACGGGATAGACACACCAGCCACAGCTGCAGTGGACAGGGTGCCTTGGATGTGATCCCTTGCCCCTCTCACACTGAGCTCTGCACTCTCAATCTCCGAATGGAGGCGTGTTTTGACACCTCCCCTGTAAGGCACGGAGTGCTGCTGTGAAAAGCATGGAATGAGAGAGAGAATCTTGTGTAATATTTAAGAGGATAAAACATATGTCTGCTCCCTCCGACAAGCCTTTTGAAGGTAACTTCTCCAAAGAAAAAGATCAAGTATCAGAGGGGTCGCCGTGTTAGTCTGAATCCGCAAAAGCGGCGAGGAGTCCTGTGGCACCTTAGAGACTAACTGAAGTGTAGGAGCATAAGCTTTCGTGGGCAAAGACCCACTTCGTCAGATGCATGTAGTGGAAATTTCCAGAGGCAGGGATAAATATGCAGACCAGAATCAGGCTGGAGATGACGAGGTGGATCCAATCCGGGAGGATGAGGCCCACTTCTAGTAGCTGATCTGGAGGTGTTTAATCCAGAGTTGATTGTGTCAAACTTGAAGATGAACTGTAGCTCAGCAGTTTCTCTTTGAAGTCTGAAAAAGCTGTACGCTCTGCTCCTGCTGAGGGCCAGCTACCCTCCCCACGTAGCAGCCCTACTTGCCTGCTGACCCACCTCACCCATGGGCCGTGGGGGCCGGGAGCCTGCCCTCCAGTGACCAGGTGCTCCAGAGGGATTGAACAAAGCGAGGGGATCGGGGGTGGAAGGGGTCTCCCGTACAACCCTGCCCGGAGCGAGTTCCGGTCTGAACAGGAGCGGATCTCAGTGACACTGAGCCTGGCTGCTGTCAAAGTTGTGCCCCCCCCCCCCCCCCACATGCTCCCA